CCCTGCCAGGGAACAATTCCTGCCCAATATCCCATCCATTCCTGCCCCCTGGCAGTGGGAGCCATTCCCTGTGTCCTGTCCCTCTGTCTCTCATCCCAGGTCCCTCTCCAGCTCTCCTGGAGCCCCTTTAGGCCCTGGAAGGGGCTCTGAGCTCCCCCTGGAGCTTCTCTTCTCCAGATGAGCACCCCCAGCTCTCCCAGCCTAGCTCCAGAGCAGAGGGGAGCCAGCCCTGGAGCGGCTCCGTGGCCTCCTCTGGTCTCATCCCACATCCCTGTGATGTCGGGGATGCATGCAGAATCCCCATCCTCCCTTTCCCTGCTTCCCTGGGAATGCAGCCCAGGACAGGACTGGGAGGCAGAGCTGCTCCTGGAGCAGCAGGGATGTGCAGGGGAGGGAGGATGGTGGCGATGGCAGCTCTGGGGACATCCCCGAGCTCCCAGGGCTGAGCTGTGACTCAGCCCCAAACCCTTCGGGATCAGCTGGGCCCTGCTGCCCCACCCGGGTCCCTGTTGGGGATACTCAGGATGCAGAGGGAAGAGTTTTCCTGTGGGCATCAGCCCTGGGAGCTGTTGGGATGGACCTCCAGGAGGTTCTGGGAGGCACAGGGAGGGTGCTGAGCTGCTTTGGGCTGGGCTGTGACAGGCTCTGGTTTCCTGGGTGCTGGGTGCTAACACAGCTCCAGAGCAAGCTTGGCACAGCCTGTGCCCTCAGTGCCCTGGTCACACGAGTCCCTTGTCCCACACTAATCCCTGCTGCAGGGCTCCAGGCCTGGCTCTGCTGTTCCTGCTGAGTGAAGCTGATTTACACCTGCTCGGAGCCATTCCAGGGGTTTTCTCTCTCAGACCCGTGTCCTGGTTGGTCTCTGCAGGGTTTTTTCCAGAGTGTCTCAAGAGGATGAGCCTTGCAGGACAGGTTTACAGGGGAGCTGCTCTTAGAGCAGGTCGGGGCAGCTTCTTGCACTGTGTTTGAATGGTCAGGGCACCCTAGTGCTGCTCCTGATGTCCTTAGGGCTGGGATCTCCCAGAAGCAGCATCCACCCTTGGCACACTCTCAGTTGCACCTGTCCTCACTCACTCAGCCCTGAGTGTGCTTGTGGGGGGAAACTGCGTCTCTCTGGGCTGATTCCATGGGAAATCATTTCCAGATTTGCAGATGCTCCCCCAGAAAAATGCCTTAGGGAGGGAGAAGCTGGAGCCTGGGTCAGGCAGGTGCAGGGAGATGCCAAGCCCCTGTGTCCCCCAGAGCCAAGAATGTCCTCAGCCCATGGGAGGTTATTTTCTGGGCAGAATGAAGTGCTTGGATGGGGTGACTTTTCCAGCTGCCTGACAGGACCTGCCACCCTCTGACCTGTTATGCAGAACCTCTTACACAGCATCCCTGGGAACTCCCAAACAAATCCTGTTATTTTGGAGCCTGATTCCTTTGAGTGTGCCCTCAGAGCAGCAAAAATATTAGAGGGAGCTGAAGGGCAGCCCAGGCTCTCCTGAGCCAGGAGCTGCTCCCAGTTCCCTGCTGGCAATTCCTGATGCAGGAACTGGGAGTTGAGATGTTCATCCAGGACATGCCATGGGCAGTGTCCCAAAGCTGCAGCTCACCTGTGTCCTTCAGCTTAGCTGGATGGCCAAAATTTAAGATGCAAATAAATCAGTGCTCTGTAGAGACATTTTAAGTGATTGATTTCCAAGCAGGAAGGATGATGGGGCAGGGATCTTCTTTAATCAGGGACTCTTGGAGGACTCAGGTCCTGGAGAGCTGGGCCAGAGCCCTGAGGGACCTCGTGGGTGATTTGTGCCCAGGGCAGCACCTGTCACTGGGCCTGAACTGCCTTTACCTATGGAGGCGCAAAGAGTTTGATCTGGGTTATTTATAGGAGCTGCTAAAAATGTGCCAGGATGTGCCAGGCCAGGGGCAGGGGCAGCTCCTCCTGTTCCCATGGCCAGGGGCTGGTCCCAGGGTGGAAGCCTTCACCTGGGCTGGTGGGACCTGGCCCTGTGCCCCACCCGCACTGGTGTGGGACTGGGCTCACTGGGGACACGGGGTGCTGGGCTGAGCCCTCACAGAGCCTGGGCTTGGCTCTGCTTCCGAATTTGGGAAGCAACCAGAGATGCTGGTGGCTTCCCGACTGTGGTGTGTCAGATGGGGACATGGCATTATTCCTGCTCCTGCTCCCTGCAGCCAGCCATCCTCTCTGGGAGGCCCAAAAGGGCTCAGAGCAGGACCAGGAGCTGGAAGAGACCCCAGAAAGCCACAAAGAATTCCAATGCCAGGGGCAACACACCCTTTGAGCCTCCCAGTGTCACCCCAGCAGCGCTGCCTGCCCCAGCATCTCCCTCGGCAGCTCCAGCCCAGCGACAGCCAGAGGGGACACGGGCAGGAGCAGCGCTGGGCTGCTCGCTCGGCTCCTCCGGACGGGAATGAGCAGAGTCATGGGGCTGCAGAAACCCGAGCCCGGCTCTGATCGCTGGTGGCAGCTGGAGGCAGAGCGGGAACAGCGCTGGGGGACAGCACGGCCGGGCAGCAGCTCCTGCCCCAGGGTGGGACGGCAGCGCCGAAAATCCCGAGTGCCAGGGAAATAGAGGCTGCCCACAGCTCCTGTGAGCCCTCGGAGCTGCCGGAGATGCGGTGGAAGGTGACCCAGAGGCACTGGGGGTCCTGCTGGAGCAGGGGTGCTGCTCTCTGATGCTCTCGATGGATCCATTCCCAGCTGGGAGTGTTCTGTGCTGCCCTGCACCAGCGCATTCCCACTGGGATTTGGGGTGATAGAACCAGACACAGCCCTATGTTTCTTGGGTTTTTTGAGCTCCCTGCTCTAGAGGGGGGGAGGTCCCAGAGCTGCTCAAGTGGAGCAGGAACTGGGTTTAAGCCCAGAGTAATTCCATGAGAAGCAGCACTGGTAGCACCTCTGCCCCCTGCCCCAGCATTGTCCCCTCCCAGAGACACCTGGAGACCAAAATTCCCTTTTTGTTTGCTTTGATGAGGTCCCACCTCTGGGTTCCATCCCCCCACCCCCTCCCCCATCGGAGGCTTGCTCTGGGCTCTGTTTTGCAGCTGTTGGGACAACAAGTTGGGCTGGGCCCAGACTCCACTTTGCAGTGCTATGACTCAGTTTGTGTCATTAAATAACCCCATTCAGCAAGGACAAAACTCCCTAAAACAGATGGAGCCCAAGAATCCTTCAGATTGGAAAAGCCCTTGGAGATCATCAAGCCCAACTGTTCCCCCCAGCACTGCCAAGGCCACCACTGGCCCCTGTCCCCAGGTGCCACATCCACAAAGCTTTTAAACTCCTTCAGGGATAAGGACTCCATCACTGCCCTGGGCAGCTGTGCCAAAGTCTGGCAAACTTTTCCGTGAAGAAATTTTCCCAACACCCAATTTAAACCTCCCATGGCCCAGCCTGAGGCCGTTCCCTCTCCTCCTGTCCCTGTTCCCTGGAGCAGAGCCTGACCCCCCCTCCCTGTCCCTCCTGTCAGGGAGTTGTGCAGAGCCACAAGGGCCCCCCTGAGCCTCCTTTTCTCCAGGCTGAGCCTCCCCAGCTTCATTTTCAGTCTCTTTTCCCATCAGGGTTGGAAATATCCAGTTCTCTCTAATCCCAAATGGCTGAGTGTTTCCAGCTCTCCACACAGCAGGGTGGAGCCTGTGGGGTGTATTGATCCTGAAGGTTTTTTGGGGGCAGGTGCTTGGCAGCTTCACAGAAAGTTTGGGTTTGCCAGTGGGATGCTTGGTTTGGGAGGGTGAGGCACAGAGGGGCAGCTGTCCCAGTGTCCACGAGAAGCAGGGTCGAGTTTTATGGAATGTTGGGCTCATATCCCACAGAATCAGTGCTTATGGGACATTATCAAGGCACAAGGGCTCAAAGCAAGAATCTCTCTGGTGTTAGGGGAGCCTCTGCCAGCGTCTCCACCTCTCCCAGGGCATGGCAGCCTCGTACTCCAGGTGCAGCCACTCCTCTCCTCCACACTTCCCTCCCTCCAGCCCTTTTTGTGCAGCAGAACATCCTTAACTCTCCTAAGCCACCCACCCTATTCCTTCTGGGAAGTCATCCTGATCCCTGTAACATTCAAAGGTGCCATTACTGCTTCTCTTTTTGGCTCAGGATAAGCCTTTAGCTCTTCCTGGGGGCAGAGCCTCCCAGCAGTGCAGGTTCCTCATGCTTCCCATGGCTGGGAGCTGTGCCAGGACCCAGCTCCTCTGGCTGAGGAACCTCTTGTTTAGGGCATCACAGGTCGTTTGCAGGGGCTGCAGAAGCAAAGTTGCTGATGCCAGGCCAAGGGGAGGCAGTTGGAGTGGGGCTGCTGCTCCCCAAGGTGTTTGGTTGTGTGGAAACACCGTGTTTGGGTTGTGAAATTGTGTGTCTGACACAGCCAGGTGGGGACAGGGATACCAGGTGTCCCAACCTCATGGTGCCTCCTGAGTGGAGAGGGAATCACAGAATTAATGAGGTTGGAAAATACCTTTGAGATCTTCAAGTTCAATCCATGACCCAACACCCCCCTGTCACCCAGACCATGGCACTCCATGCCATATCCAGCCTTTCCTTAAACACCTCCAGGGATGGTGATTCCACTACCTCCTTGGGAAGCCCCTTCCAATGCCCAGTCTTTCTGGGAAAAAAATTTCTCCTCATGTCCAGCCTGAACTTCCCCTGGTGCAGCTGAAGGTTTTGTCCCCTTGTCCTGTCACTCTTCCTGGGAGCAGAGCCCACCCCACCCCTGGCTGTCCCCTCCTGCCAGGGAGCTGTGGAGAGCCAGAAGGTCCCCCCTGAGCCTCCTCCAGACTGAGGCTCCCCAGCTCCAAATGGGAATGGGGGTCTGGGAGGAGCAGGAACACACGGGGTGCTCCATTCCTGTGACCTCAATACTTCTGCCATAAACACATTTGCTAAAACCCCGCTGAGATCCTGCCACCAAATGCCACCAAATGCCACCAAATGCCACCAAATGCCCGAGCTTCCCCCAGGATGTCCCCAGCTGGTGTTCCAGCCCCTTGTCCCCGCAGGCAGGGCGTGGGTGGCCCGGAAGCAGAATGAGAGGATGGCCGGCCTGCCGCACATCCCGGGCCCCGAAAACCTGCGCCCCTTCACGCCGGCCTCGCTGGCCGCCATCGAGCAGCGCATGGCCGAGGCCGAGGCGCTCCGGGTAAAGCGGCAGCACGTGGAGATGCCCGAGGAAGAGGAGGTCAAGCCCAGCAGCGACCTGGAAGCCGGCAAGAACCTGCCCCTAATCTATGGTGACCCACCCCTGGAGCTGATCGGGACCCCCCTGGAGGACCTGGACCCTTTCTATAAGGACAAGAAGGTGAGGGCCAGAGATTTTCCCCTGGTAGGCTTGGCCTTAGGTGTGAGTCCTAAGCAAAAGACCAAGCAGGGACCTCCTGTGCTTTCTACTGTGCTTACCTGAGCCCACGCTGGTGATCCACCCCCCTCCCAGACTGCTGTGGTTTGCTTCTCTTCCAAAGCAGAGAGCATCTCCAAGCTTTTGGAGCTCCAAACACACAGAGACATCTCCCCTCTGAAGGCAGCCTTTGGTCCGTGGTATTTAGGGGATGCAGAAGGACTAACTCCCCCTCCTCTTTTCTCCACAGACGTTCATAGTCCTCAACAAGGGCAAGTCCATCTTCCGCTTCTCGGCCACCCCTGCCCTCTACCTGCTGGGGCCCTTCCACCCCATCCGCAGAGGAGCCATCAAAGTCCTCATCCATTCATATCCTTGATCTCTGGGATGCTGCTCCATGGCCAGGTCGAACCCTGGTGTTCAGAGTCCAAACAGCTCCAGGAGAGGGACAAGGGCAGGGGTTCATGATGGAGTGGTGAGGAAAGCTCCTGGGCCCCCAGCACAGCCAGGACCTGCTGCCCAGTGCCCAGTCCGAGGAGCAGGTTCTTGATGGGCACCTTGGGGACACCAAGGGCTCACTCTTGGCTGAAGAAGGGAGGAATCAGTTTGGATGGAGAAGAGAAGAAGCCCAAGTGATGAAGCTTCCTAGGGAGGTTGAAGGGTTTTGATGTTTGGGGAGACTTGGAAAGGAAGAGACGTGTTCATGTGTCAGGGGATCTGGTACCACTGGGAAGTGAGTGAGCAGGGGAGCTCCAAGGAGGCTTTGGGAGAGGGAAGCAGAGGAACCACGACAGAGGGAAAGGCAAGAAAGGAGTCCAAGAGCACGAGGGGCTTTGCAAGGTGGATGGAAGTGGTCCCAGCAGAGCTCTGAAGGAAATGAGGGTTCATGGCCATGAGGGAGGAGGAAAAGACGGAGATTTTGCAGCAGAGGGGTCTAAGCCTAAGAGTCATAGCTTTCTAGAAAGAGGTTGAAGGTTTTTGAGGTCTGGAGAGACTATGAAAGGAAAGGAAAGCTGTATCCATCTGTGATGGAGAGGAAGGAGCACAGGGAGCAGAAAGGGAGGCAGAGCCAGCACCATAGAGTTGGGAAGGGGAGCAGAAAGGAAGAGAAGGGGCTGGGACCATGCACAGGAGCAGAGAGGAACAGAGGGAAGCATGAGCACAGGACTGAGGCGGGAGAGCAGCTGGAGGAGCAGGGCAGGGTGAAGTACCAAGGTGGCAGCCAGAACAAGAGGAACAAGGACACTTGGCTTCCTGACCGTGGGAAGGGGGGATCCCAGCACCATACAGAGCATTTGTCCTTGACCATGTTTTAAATTATTCAGCATGTTCATCATGATCACAATTTTAACCAACTGTGTGTTTATGACGCTGAGCAACCCCCCGGCGTGGTCCAAGAATGTGGAGTGAGTCCTGAGAGCTCCCCTGGCCATAGGGACAGCCCAGCCCGGCAATGTCCCTCAGCAGGGACAAGACCAAGGCTGGGGGGGGTGGGAAGCCAGGCACCTTTCAGAGAAGGAGAGGTCACTGGGAGGTGCTGGTGGCCCTCAGAAGGGATGTCCACACTCTCCATAGGGCACTGAAGAGTGAGAATGTTTCAGAGCTTCCCAAAAACCTGATGGGGTCTCGATGTCTGGAGAGCCCTGAAGAGCAGGTTGGGCTGGGCTGGGTCAGCACTGTCAGTCTGGAGAGGCTGAGCTGATCCTCCTGTCCAGGGGCCATGGGGAGAGGGGAAATCCAGCATTTTCTGCTGTGGTTCTGCCTGGTCAGGTCTCAGCAGGACTTTACAGAGAGCATGGGGGTGGTGGGACATCAGTAGGGACAGAGGTGTTGCAGAATGGTCACCAGAGGCACTGGTACCTTGAGATGTCTCAGCTCACCTTACAAGGTGAGGTGAAAACCTCTCCCAGTGCTGAAGCACCCCGAAAACCCATCAGCACCCAAACTCAGCTCTGGGAGGGGTGGACGAAACCTTGGACCTGGGCAAGTGTCTCCTGAGTGACCAGTCCTGTTTCAGATATGCCTTCACTGGCATCTACACCTTCGAGTCTCTCATCAAGATCCTGTCGAGAGGCTTCTGCATCGACGACTTCACATTCCTGCGTGACCCCTGGAACTGGCTGGACTTCATGGTCATCTCCATGGCGTGAGTCTGGTGGGGTGGGGAGGACAGGAGGCAGATTTGGAGGAATGAGGAGTGTTCCAGGCAGAGCCCCTGGAACTCTTCCCTCTCCTGTCCCACAGCTACATCACCGAGTTCGTGGACCTGGGGAACATCTCTGCCCTCAGGACCTTCCGTGTCCTCCGTGCCTTGAAAACCATCACGGTGATACCAGGTGGGACTTAGAGAAGGGGCCTCCCTCCCATGCCTTCCCGTGAGCTCAGGTATTCCCACTGTTCCCAGCAATTCCTGGTTCTTTTGGCAGCTCCAAGAGAAAACAGAGGAAATTAGGTATTTGATAAATTTTCCACGTAATTTGGCTTTGGATCAGGCCCTGCTGCTTTTACATCTTGCAATCAGCTGCACTCATCAGGTTGTTTGGCAGCCCCTGAAGAGGCACATGTGACGTTTTTAAGGCTCCTTGGAGATGAATTAAGGGAATTTGTTCCCCCAGTGGATTTACGGGTTTGATAAACCAAGTGTCTCCATTTTTGAAGCTATAGACTCAGTTTTGTGCTCATTGTTGACTGTTCTGGTGCTGAGGCTGAGATATTTAACAAGTACTGGTTTAACATCACCTTAAACATCCAGATTCCTGCGGGGGGCACCTTATCAAATCCCTCTGACTGCTGATTTCCAAATTTGATACCATTTCAACACCGTGCTTTCAACACCTGGTGCAAGCACATAGAAATCTGAAGCATGAGATTGAACTGAAAATCAAAATTCCTTGTGGTGTCCCTGCAGGCTCCAGATTGTGAGGGTTCACATTTGAATGTTTTTTCCTTCATCAAACAAGCTAAAATTGTATTGAGCAAAATGTAAACTGCTGCTTCTTTCTGGAATGACATCCCCAAGGGCTCTGCAGAAATAGCAGTGGCAAAAATAAGCTGGTTTAGAACATCTGACCTTAGGCCCTTGGAAAACAGGATTTTACCTAAATAGTTTGGAGAACGAGGAGCTGGCAGGAGGACAGGGCTAAAAATCATTTCCTTGGAGAATTTCTCCATGTGAGAAAGTTCTGGGCTCGTAAAGCTCTAAAAGATGAACATTGGGATGTTGCAGCATTGCCCATCATCCATGTAGACCTTGGCTGACAGGAACTCCATCCTCCATGGAAAAATCCCACTGAGGACCTGTGAATGAGCCTCCTCTGGAGAGGGAACAGTGATGTTGGGGGCCGACATGAGTTAATCCAGATGTCACTTTGTCACCTTCACTTGGGCACACTAGGGATTTTCCAGCTTGAAGAGATCAGGATGAGGGGTCTGGCTGGGCTCCCAACCACCCAGGGACAGCAGTTAGGCCATGGAGGCTTTTCTGGAGCTGGGAGAGGTGCACAGCATCGCCCAGCTGGGCCAGCAAAGAGCTTCTTCATGTTCCACTCTAAAGTGCTCCACTCCAGTGGTCTGGTACAAAAAAAATGCCAGATTGTGGCATTTAGGGAAAAAAGAAAATCCAAAGGAATTGATGGCTGCCAGGCTGGGGTGGGCTTTGTTTTGGATGTCCCAAGGCTGGGATGTAGAAGTCACCAGCACCAACCCAAGGGTGCTGTTCTGGGGAGCCCAGCTATGTGGGGACGGGGCTGGGATGTGATGTGAGCACAGAGCTGGGGCTCGGTGGTGACACACATCCCCACCACAGCCAGCACCTTCTGGGGACACCCCAGCCTGCTCCCCACAATTCACAAACGAGCAATCAGTCAGCAGTGACTCCTCCCCCAGGGCTGAAGACCATCGTGGGGGCTCTGATCCAGTCGGTGAAGAAGCTCTCAGATGTGATGATCCTCACGGTTTTCTGCCTGAGCGTCTTCGCCCTCATCGGCCTCCAGCTCTTCATGGGCAACCTCCGGCAGAAATGTGTGCGCTGGCCTCCCCCCAACAGCACCTTCCTGGAGGATTTGGGGCAGGACAACGACACCTTGGTCAACTCAACCTTCTATGAGTTCATGGATGACTTCACAGGGAACTTCACCGGGAATTTCACTGGGAACTTCACCAGCAACAGCACCTTTGACTTCGAGGCCTACATCAGTGATGAAGGTAAAGCTCTGCAGCCCCTTCTCCTCTGCCCCTCACCTGGTTTGCTCTCCAGTTTCCTGCTCCTCATGGCCACTCCCAGGTTTGCTCACATGGATCTTCCTGCTGAGGCTGGCAGGTGGAACAGGCTCTGCACACTCATAGAAGGGACAGATCAGATCAAATCGCCCTGGACAAGGAAAATGAGGCTCACCTAGGCAAGCTAAGCTCTTCCAGGAAGGTTTCACAACAGGAAGGTTTGGATGGACCAGTGTCTCCATCTCTCACTTGCTGGTCAGGGCCAAAGTCCCAGTGGGGTAGTTACAGAAGAGAGACCAAACCGTTGAGGAGCAGGTGGAGCTTTGGGTAGAAAAACAGGAAAAAATGCAGGAATGACATTTTTAACCCACTTTTCACTATCTGGATCCTTCCCCAGGTACCACAGTGCCCAATGAACCCTTTACAGAATGCCACAAAAGCCACAGGAGGGGAGGAAGGGAGAAGTGGGACCAGCACAGGTCCTCAGGAAAGTCTAAGGTGCTCCTTTCCTACCCCTTCTTTGAAAATTTTCCCTGAAGTGTGGTGGGGTTTTGGTTTGTTCTTCAGTGTTGAGTTTTTAAACTCCATGAAAATGTAAAAATCTCAGCAAATCTGCCTGGTAGATCTGCAGGGTGGCAGGGTGCCCCTCAGGGATGCTCCATATCTCATTCAGCAGAGCTCAGAAGGCCAGGCTGGGTCTCAGCTGAGCAGGTTTTGGTAGGGGGCAAGTTCAGCCCAAGGGATCTGATGAGCTCCATGCAAAGAGCAGCTGCTGGGGCCAGACCAAAAACCTGGAATTGCACAAACAGGGTATTTCCTCTCTGAGCCCACACAGGATAAAGAGAAGCCTCATGGCAAGAAGGCAGGCAAAGCCAGGGAGGATTCAGGAAGCTCCAGAAGTCCTGGGAGGGCTGTGCTGGGTGATGCTCAGGACTGGATCCAGTTGCCCTCTGCCATATCCAGGTGCGGGTGTCTGCAAGTGCTCCTCTGTGTCCCTGGGGCAGGTGACCTGGGGTGGCACTGCTTGGCAGCTCTGTGGCTCTGGATCTGTGCTGGAGCCATAAGGAAGAGCTTTGAGGATCCCTGGTCTGTGAGCAGGGGCAATGGGGGCAGCAAGAGAAGGTGTAGCCATGGAGCAGGAGCTTTCCCCAGGTTTTTCTAGGACTCCTGCAGCGCCAATGTCCTGGTTTTCCAGGAAAATAGACCAGCCCTGATGCTTTAACCTCATGTTAACCCATTTTCCAGGTGTCCTGGCCCTGGCCAGACCCAGGTTTGGGAGGGACCTGGTTGGATTGATGAAAAAATCTCAGCAGCTCCCTGAGCCAGAGCCAAGACAAACAACAAAGTCAACAGAGAGTAGATGTATGCCTGACACTGGCAGTCAACAAATTCCCCCAGGATTCAAGGAATTTCTCCAACAGCAAGTGCACCCAAGAGTTTGAAAATTAATGTTTGTGCTTATTTATTTGTTTGTTTGTTTGTTTATATTCCTTGCTCTTTCCCCACCTGCAAAGCCAATTACTACTTCCTGGAGGGAGCCTTGGATGCCCTGCTCTGTGGGAACAGCAGTGATGCTGGGTGAGTGAGATCCCCCCTCTCTGGATCCCTGGGAGGGGACAGGGAGCTGGCACAGCTCAGGGGACCCCTGATGCTTGGGATGAGGCAGGTTTGGGGCTGGGAATGTGGCTCTGCAGGGGAACAGTCCAGGAAACCCAATGGACCAGCTTGGGGACCATCCTGAGGGTATCAGCTGGATCATCCCAATGGTATCAGCTTGAGGGAGTATTGATCCAGGCATCCCAACTGTACCAGCTTTGGGGCTATCAGCTGGTGCATCCTGGGGGTATCAGCTTGAGGGGCTATCAGTCAGAGCATCCCAATGGTACCAGATCAAGGGTTTCAGTCTGGGCATCACAACTGTATCAACTTCATGTGGAATCAGTTCAGGCATCCCAAATGTATCAGCTTGAGGGGTCTCAGTCTGAGCATCCTGCCTGTATCATTTTTGGGGGTATCAGATGGGGCAGGTGGTATCAGTCCAGGCATCCCACCTGTCTCATCCTGGAGGGGAGGGTCCCCCTGCTGCTCCCCCTCTCTGTAGGGATGGGTTTGGCTGTGGGGCCCCTCTCATCCCTGCTGCCCCTGGCAGGAAGTGCCCTGAGGGCTACGAGTGCATGAAGGCCGGGAGGAACCCCAACTATGGCTACACCAGCTACGACACCTTCAGCTGGGCCTTCCTGGCCCTCTTCCGCCTCATGACCCAGGACTTCTGGGAGAACCTCTTCCAGCTGGTAGGCACTGCCCCTCCCTCCCTGTGCAGTGTTCCTCTCGTTTCTGTGCTGCCCCTGAGGTGAAAAGTCACTGACCAGAGGCTTGTGGGTCCTTCTGTGGTTTGTGGGTCCAGCCAGGATCAGTGGAGATGGGGCTGGTCCCATCTACTACTGCCCTAACATGGGAGAGCAGTGTATTTCCCAGGGGGCTGTCAGCTCTATCATGGAAATCAGGGATTTATAAGATTGTCCAGAGCATCTCTGGTTTAAGCTGAGGGACAGGATAAGGAGGATAAGGAGGAATTCTGAGAAACAGAGGCATCCACCTTGGCTTCAGATACAAGGGGAGTTTTCTAAGCTCCTAATACATGGTTTTCTAGCAAATAGAGTGTTAGCATTGCCATGAGTTTTTCCAAACAAGGCATTCAGTCAGAAAAAAATGATGAAATCAAATAAATACAAATTGCCTCAAATGCAGTAGGCTCATGTAAGTTAATTTTAATTAATTTTTAAGTCAGACTAAGTAGAATTATTATTCCAAAAGAAGATGTCTGTCATGGACTCCATTAACTGGCGCAGAGCTGTGTGGTATTGATTTCAGCTGGAAAAGCACTGTCAAGCATTGTCAAGCAGGTCACTTGTCCCCTCATTGAGTTGTCCTCTAGGGAGACACCACAAAATCCCAGCAGACCCCAACTCCACAGTCTGGCCAGGTAAAAGGGATCCTACACCTAAGGTCACCCCTGTCCTCTGGAAAGGTTTGCCCAAATGATCAGAGTCAGAAAAGGACCATGTTGGCCTGAAGGTGAGACTGAGAAGGTAGGGGCTGAGCAGAGTGAGTCAGTGATGGAATATGGGTCCCACCTCCATCGCTCCCAGCCCTTGGGAACCTTGGGAACCAAGGTTTCTCTCCGCCTCCCATCAGTCCCAACCCAGTGCCAGGGCCTGCAGGAAGGTCCATTGGGCAATGACCAGTCCTTGGAGAAGACAGGAGCAAAGTATTTCCCTCTTAACACAACCAGGAGGGCATCCCGGGGCAGCACCTTCTCTTGGGAGTGTCACCACAGTGACATCGTGACATCCCAGCCACCTCTTCCCACAGACCCTGCGGGCAGCAGGGAAAACCTACATGATCTTCTTCGTGGTGGTGATCTTCCTGGGCTCCTTCTACCTCATCAACCTCATCCTGGCCGTGGTGGCCATGGCCTACGCTGAGCAGAATGATGCCACCATGCTGGAGGAGCAGCAGAAGGAGGAGGAATTCCAGCAGCTCATGGAGCAGCTGAAGAAGCAGCAAGAGGAGCAGGAAAGGCTGGTGAGTGGGAAGAATGGAGACCTAAATCAGGGGTCTTGGGAATAGGGAGAGGAAATGGCGACAGCAACAAGCATGGTGTAAAATCCAAAGAAAAACTCCATTTGGTCCATAGGAAGTAAAGAAAAAATGGAGTAACTATTTTGGGCATCACATCTGAATCAAAAACCTGAGACACTATCATGGGTGAGGACAAAAAAGGCTGAAAAGATCAAATTTCCACATCCAAATCCCATCCCAGTGTGCACTGGGAGGCAGCAGAGAGGAGCAGCACAGGGGGGAGATGTTGTTTGAGAAGAGCAGGACATGACAGACAAAAAAGGCCTCAGAAGTTCCAGTGGATCTCCTGCCTCACATGAGGAAGCCTGGCAGAAGCCCAGCTCGGTGTCACCAGGTCACAAAGGAGCATTCAGGGAAGATGGCAGCACAGCTCAGTGTGTCAGCAAGCCCTTGGCTTTGGAGACACAACAAAGGGCTCGAGACATCCTGCACCTCACCTGGGAGATCCTGGTGTCCTTATGGGAGCTAAGGAAACCTGGAATGGTGCAAGTGTCCCTGCTCATTGCAGAAGGGCTGGAAATTAATGGTCTTTCCAGTCCTTTCCAACCCAAACCACTCTGAGATTCCATAAATACCAAGTGGGAAGGGACCTCCAGGATCATCTGTTCCAGCTCTGCTGGGCCAGATCACAATCCAGACAAGAGATGTCCCATTGTGGTCCCAGGATGTTACCTTCATCCCTTTGCCATCCTTGAGAATGTTTTTCAGTACAATATTCCTATAAAATATGACCAAAAGCCTCTGGTGCAGCAGCCCAGCCATTTTCCAGCTCTAACTATCATTTTGTTCCATGTCAGCAAGGAGACATCCCTGAAAATCTCTTTGTCTCGCCAAGACACCACCTCCCTCACGTGTAGAGAGACACAAGCCAATGTCTGACGCTCTCCAGAGCCTCTTATCTCTCTTCTCTTATCTGTCCAGAGCCACAGCATCCCTGGGAAGTGGCTTGTTCCTCTCTGGCTTCTGCTGTTTGCAGGAAAGGTCTGAGCCAGCCCTGCCTGAGGGTTGGGGATTCTGGGGCTGGAGTCAGGCTGGTACTGAGGCCCCTTCCCCGAGAAAATCAACCAGGAAAGGGCCCAAAGGCTTTGTGAAGGGATGTCTTCCCTTCACACAGAGTCACACAGAGAAATTGAAAACACAGAGGGAATTAAGCTGAGAGTAAGGGCAAAGCACCTACAAGAAATGGGGGCTTGGATCTATTTAATATCCCATGATTAAAGGTGGAAAATGCCCTGGATTTCAGCAATGTGCTGTGAAAATAGAGAATTTCCCATTCCACAGTGGCATCCTCAGTGCTGAGAAAGGGTGTAATAAATTTCAAATTTTAATTACCACTGTTGGAAAGAAAAAGAAAGAAAAAATTACATGCAATGAAAATGTGATAATACAACATTTAGTGCAAGTGCAAAAATCCTGGAGGTCACATTTCAGCAAGACCCTTAAGGATTTTTCTTCTTTGCCATTTTGGATGAGAGCTCATTGCAAAGGGTAAAGTTTCCTGCTTGAAGAACCAAGATTTGCTCACTTTTGTCCTTAGGAATTATTCTCCCTGACCAAATCCAAACAGATCTAACTCAGCTGTGGAGAGCTCAGTGCAGGGGGGGGAAAGGGAAAGGGAAAGGGAAAGGGAAAGGGAAAGGGAAAGGGAAAGGGAAAGGGAAAGGGAAAGGGAAAGGGAAAGAGAGAGGCTTGGAAATCCTAGGACAGCTTGGGTTGGAAGGGACCTGGAAGCTCATCCAGTCCCACCCCTGCCCTGGGACACCTCCCACGACCCCGGGTTGCTCCAAACATCGTGCACCCATCACTTCTGGGGATGGAAGGAATTTTCTCAGCCCCTGGAGCCCTCAGCTGCCGTGGGATGTCCCTGTGGCTGCGGACATAGGGGTGACAGGGACGGGGTTGTGCAGTTGCAGGAGCGAGCATCCAGCAGCGATTCCCTGCCCAGCAGCGTGGCCGGGAAGGGACAAGACTCGGACATCAACAGTGACCAGGACAAGGCCAAGGACTGCAACGGGCAGGTGGTGCCCAAGATCACCCTGCAGAGATCCAACACCGTGATTGATGTAGGTGACATCCCTGAGGGTGCCCACCCTGACCCACCTTCTGAGGGGACAGGCTTGTGCCCACCTCGCTATGGGTGGGGTCCTACAAGCCTTTTTGGAGTCCCCACCTTGCACCCAGAGGTCTCTCCAGACCATTCTCTGTTTTCTGCCAGCTCTGTCTTTCAGAGCATGGAATAACTCTGCATCCCTCCCTTCCCTCCTCCCAGTTCAATCCCACCTATGAGCCAGAGAAGCCAGACGTCAACCACCTCACTGTGGGCAACCAAGACGGGCCAGGGCTGGAGAAGAGGGTGGGAAGTGCCATCAGTGTCATCTCCAACGCTGTGGAAGGTATGTCCTGCTGGGTGAGGGTCCTGGTCAGTGCTGGAGGGCCTGGGTTGGTGACAGTGGCTGTCCCAAATTCCCAGCCCCACACAAGGGATGAATCCAGCCCTGGGATCTCTGTACAGGGTCAGTGATGCTCAAGCCAGATTTTTCATCCCAGCTCACTGGGATGATGCCTGGAGGCAAAAATCCAATATCTCACACAAATTAATGGGATTGCAGGTGATTAGAGGAGTCTCCAGTGCCAACTGGGAACTGCTGAGCAGCTTCCCAGGAGCTGCCGTGTCAGCTTCAGCAAAAAGCACCATGAACTCAGCAGTTCATGTCCCCTGTGCCCCCAAGAACAGCCACGAAATCCTCTGGCCAGCCCAGAGCAGTCCCCTCAGATATCCTGGCAATCTCAGGGTGGCAGGGACACCTCAAATCCTGCCCAAGGGCTGGGAGCAGGATTGGATCCACAGTTCCCTAGCTGATCTGCCTTTCCACCCCTCTCCAGTTTGGAGGGCCAGGTCTGCATCACCTCTGTGCCTGGGCATGGGAAGGCTTCTCCTTTTAGCCCCCATATTTTTTGGGTGCCATGATACAAAAAAGATCTAAAGCTTTTAGAAAGTGTACAAAGGAGGGCTAAGAAGATGATAAAGGATCTGGAGGAGCCATATGAGGAGGGGCTGAGGTATTTTGGTTTGTTCAGCTGGAGAAGAGCACCCTGAGGTCAAACCTCAGCTCCCCCCAAGGGGCAGTTTTGATCTCTGCTCCTTGTGACCAAGGACAGGACAAGGGAACAGCTGGAGCTGGGCCAGGGGAATTTGGGATGGATCTCAGGGAAAGGTTCTTCCCCCAGAGGGTGCTGGCACTGCCCAGGCTCCCCAGGGAATGGTCCCAGCCCCGAGGCTGCCAGAGCTCCAGGAGTGGTTGGACAGTGCTGCCAGGGATGGAGAGGGTGAAATTGTTGGGGTGTCTGTGCAGGGCCAGGAGCTGGATCAATGATCCCTATGGATGTCTTCCAGCTCAGGATATTCCATGATATCCAAATCATAGATCATCCAGAGCTGGTCCAGGACGTCAGGAGAAGTTCTCCTGAAGGTCAGCACTCGCCCACCTAGGTGAGGACAAGATAATCCCACACTTTTCCTTTCTCACCCTCAGAGCTGGAAGAAGCTCACCAAAAATGCCCACCCTGGTGGTACAAATTCGCCCACACATTCCTGGTCTGGAATTGCTGCCGTCCGTGGGTGATGCTGAAGGAGTTTGTCAAGCTGGTGGTGATGGACCCCTTCGTGGACCTGGGCATCACCATCTGCATCGTGCTCAACACTCTCTTCATGGCCATGGAGCACTACCCCATGACGGAGGAGTTCGAGAACGTGCTGAGCGTGGGGAACCTGGTAGGGAGCTCCATCCCTCCCCTTCCGAGCCCAGCAGCCCCACAACCCATGCTGGAGGGCAGAGCCCCCCTGGTGCTGTGTGAAACATCCCAGAGCTGCTGACAATGCCCTACAGGGCTCTGTGCACAGCATCCTGCTCAGGGCTGGGCTTTGGGATGGCCCAGACCAGGGGCATTGATGTGGGATTTGGGATCCATCATTCCCTGCTCTCCTCCTGCTGCAGTCCCTGCCCAGCTTAGTGCATCCTGAGCCACCCCCTGCATCTCAACCCTGCTGCTAGCCCTGGGGGACAACACAGTGCCCCTGAAATGTTGGGTGGCCACGGGGCAGACCAGAGGGTTTTCCAGATTGTGGGAACAAACGGGGCCCCACTGAGCAGGAAGCAACAATGCAGCATTAAAATTAATAATAATCAGGATTTTGCCCAGTGGAATCACTGCAGATCTTGGTTGTTCCGGGTTTATAGGTGCGTTTAGTGCTCTGCTTGGAGCTGGTAACAAATGGCTCTGAGCTGGATGGATCTGCTGGTGGGAAAGGCCCGGGAGCCCCCTGGCAGCGGTGGGAAATGCAGTAAGGAATAGGCGAGCTCCCATCTCTTGTGCTGTCACTTTGCCCTGCTCCAGCACCTGCCGGGCTCTGGGAGCGCAGCCCTGCAGGGACAGATGTCCCTGCCCGGCAGGGCGGGACTGGCTCTGGTTTCATTCAGGAAATACAAGGGGATTAATGGGCCGGTGCTCAAGGCACGGCCGGGCTGAGGCGGCTCCAGCCCTTCCTTCGAGCCAGGAGCGGATTCCGGCTGCACCCCGGGGGAATGATCTGGGGAAGGGCCAGGTGGGGATGGGAGCAGGCGGAGGGGATCCCAGCGAGCCAGGGCTCCCCCACATCCCCTCCCTGTGCCCGAGCAGGGAGCTGCAGCGCTGCTGCCTGTCCCACCGGAGCTGTACAGGACAAGGGCAGGGATCAGCTGGCAGGAGCAGGACAGGGGATGTTCGGGGCTTTGTGTTTGTCCCATGCAAGGGACATGTGGGGATCATCCCCTGGATACTGGAGCAGGAACAGGGCAAGGGACATTTGTGGTCGGGCATGCTGGGGACATGTGGGGACAATCCCCTGGGATACTGGAGAAGGACAAGTGATGTTTGTGGCCTGCCATGCAAACGACACATGGGGACAATCCCCTGGGATACTGGAGCACAAGAGGGGACATTTGTGGGCCGGCATGCAAGGGACATATGGGGACAACACTCGGGATGCAGGAACAGCAGCCTCCCTACTGCCCCTCCCTGCTCAGAGGGACAGACCTGTCCCCACACTACCCCCAGTCAGGGCAAATCTGTCACCTCTGCACGTGCTGTGCCATGGAATTATAGCAGGGATATCGATTGTCACCTGGCTGAGCCCTCCCTGCAGTGACACAATACTGCAGGTGCTGTTGTAGTCTCAGCAAAGGAGCAATGTGTAAAATCCAGCTCAGCTGTCACAGGGCTCAAGGAGGGACAGGGGCATCCCAGCAGAAGCCCAGCTACCAGTGCTGGGCATCTGTGATTTCCCAGTCATTCCAAAGGTGTCTCTTCGCCAAGGAAATTTTATTTTTAATTTCCAGCTGCCAACGCTTTGTGTCCCTCCAGAGGAATCAGTCACCAGTATTTCCAGTCTGGCTTCCCCAGACACACTGGGCAGCATCTGGGGGGCTTGTTCCCAACTGGGACTGGCCCTAAAGGGGTGAAATGCTTTGGGAATGCACCAAAAAAAAGGGATGCTTCCCACCCCACCTCATAGCTTAGCACTGGTTTATGAACAAGTGATCAAGGGTGCCACTTCCTGCAGGTCTTCACAGGGATCTTCACGGCAGAGATGGTCCTGAAGCTCATTGCTCTGGATCCCTACGAGTATTTCCAGCAGGGCTGGAACATCTTCGACAGCTTCATCGTCACTCTGAGCCTGGTAGAGCTGGGCTTGGCCAACGTGCAGGGGCTCTCTGTGCTCCGCTCCTTCCGTCTGGTAAGTGCCAGGGACACCTGGGTGGGGACAGGGACAGGGTGGGGATGGCCTGCTCAGCTTCCTTCATGGTGGAGAGTCAGCTTGGGAGGGACCAACTTCACCCCTTAAGGATAAGGCTGAGTCAAGTTAAATATTCAGGGAAGCTGTAGTCAGACCAGTTGGGGGTTTAACCCCTCCTGCCTTGATCAAACAGCCCCAGCAGGATCAAATGGCAGTGTCACAGCCTTGCTGGCACCTTCTGGCAATGACACCCCCAGCCACCCCCTTCTCTTTCCTTGCCCCCTGCAGCTGAGGGTTTTCAAGCTGGCCAAGTCCTGGCCCACCCTAAACATGCTCATCAAGATCATCGGCAACTCCGTGGGAGCCCTGGGCAACCTCACGCTGGTTCTGGCCATCATCGTCTTCATCTTCGCCGTGGTGGGGATGCAGCTCTTCGGCAAGAGCTACATGGAGTGCGTGTGCAAGATCTCCTTGGACTGCACCCTGCCCCGCTGGCACATGCACGACTTCTTCCACTCCTTCCTCATCGTCTTCCGCATCCTCTGCGGGGAGTGGATCGAGACCATGTGGGACTGCATGGAGGTGGCCGGCCAGACCATGTGCCTCATCGTCTTCATGATGGTCATGGTCATCGGGAACCTCGTGGTGAGCCTGGGGGCTGAGGGACCCTCACTGGTGGCACTGGGGGAGCTGCAGGGACAGAGGGGGTCGTGGAGTGGGGACACCTCTGTCCAGCTCAGCTTTTCCACGGGGTTGTGCGCGTGGGCAGGGTCTGCTTGGAGCTGCAGGGAGCACAGGGATTCTCCTCTGTCCCCAGGCCCTTCAGATGGGCTGTGTCAGCTCTGTGTGAAAGAGGGAGAAATTATTCCTGAGGGACCTCCAGCTGAAACCAGACCAGGAACTGGAGGGAAACCGAGGCACAGAAAACACAAATGGGCTTTAGGCAGAGGCAGGAGCAGCTCTGGGATAAAACAGAACTCAGCTTCAAAATGCCTTGTGTCCTTCACTTGGCTTTTCCAGCTTTCTTGCCCCATTTCCCACTCTCCTGAGGCAGAGCTCCATCCATCCATCCATCCATCCATCCATCCATCCATCCATCCATCCATCCATCCATCCCACCCTTTGATCCAGGCACTTATGGGAGCAGCCCCCCCAGCAAGGCTCCTGCAGATCCCCAACCTCCCCAGTCCTCACCGTGCTCCAGGTGGTATCTGGTGACAGCCAACCTCCTTCCCTGTCTGTGGCACCCCCTGCTCCCCTCACCCCCATCCTGCCCCCACCCTTCCCACTCCCCCTGGCTGCCTGTGCAGCCTGTGCTGCCTGAGCCGCAGGTCTGCGAGTTCCAGGCGAGCGTGAAATCCTTTCTAAACTTGGTAACCCCATCGCTGGCAGCTCTGGAGCTTGTTTTGCAGCCTGCGTGGGCCCTGCTCTCCCTTGAGGAGCAGGGCAGGGGAGGGAAGCGCCGACTCGCTCCTATTACTTGCTAGGGTTGTGTAATCCCTTTGGAATTTGCTTTGAAAAACTATCTGCCCCCGGGAGCTGCTGACCCCTGTCCCCAGGGAGGCTCTGAAAGGAGCCCGGGGAGAAACCCAGAGCAGCCCCCGGCTCGGGTCAGCTTGGAGTGTCCCACTTTGAGGGCAAAAAGTTGGGATTTGGGTGTCTGTTGGTTTCCCTGGCTCATGACAGGGATTTGGGGCTTTGAAGGGAGAGCCCTTGGCCCCAGACCTTGCCTCAGGTCTGTGCTGGGCAGTGCTGGACAGGCGAGGGGAGCAGCCCCGTGTCTCCCCGGGCTGCCACCAGTCAGCAAAGGTTTGTGATGCCACCTTCCTGCAAGGGACTGTAAGGCTGCGTCAGGCTGAAAATCACCCATAAGGGTACCTGTAAGGAGCAGGAGCCTCTCCAGAGCCATCTGCAGGGAGTGCAGGAGTTTGGACTGGGAACCACAGCTGGGGCTCCCTGGAGAGCCCTCCCAAAGCGGCTCGGGAAAGTTTCTCTCTTCTGGAGCTCATTTTTGGAGTAGCACAGGCCACCCACCGCACCAGGAGACTGCTCTGGAGAAGACACGAGAGCAGCACAATTTCAGCTGCTGGGGTCAGTGACAGCCGGCGTAGAGTTGCCAGTGTCCCATCCCAGACGTGCCGGTGTCCTCCTCCCAGAGATACCAGTGTCCCCATCCCAGACCTGCCAGTGTCCCCATCCCAGAGGTGCCGGTGTCCTCCTCCCAGAGGTGTGGGTGTCCCCATCCCAGAGGTGCAGCTCACCCCTCGGGGCAGCTCTGCAGCTCCTGCATGGACTCCATTTACAGCTCAGCAGAGAAACACGGAGCACAAACACGGCCAGAGCCCTCCGTGCCCTCCTCCTCTTCCTCTCTGCCAGGCTCTCCTGGCCGCGCCTCAGGTATTTCCGAGTCCTGGCGCCCGTCCCAGGGGCTCCCAAGTATCCCCGTGCAGGGAGGTGTGTGTTTCTGCGCTTCCCCTGCGCAGGAAGAAGGTGACCCGTCCTTCGCTCTTAATGACACTTTGAGCATTTCCTTTGGGGTTATTCAGGGAAAAGGGAGGAAGTCAGTCGGGTGACAAGGTAACGGAGTCCTGTCCAACAGAGCCAGAGCCATTAACTGTAACTGGTACTTAACGGGGGGCATTCAACTGCTAGGCCCGCGGGATTTATTTAAAGACGTGGTTTAAGGCACATGGCATGAGCCATGTGAAAACAGCAGTGTCCTTGGATAGCAGCTAATTCCCATCTCAGATGCGCTGCTGGCACCGCACGACACGGCACAAACACCGACAGCTGTGCTGGATCTGTCCCTGCTCCGCTCCTCGGGGCTGCCTGTCCCACTCCTCCGCTCCCGAGCTGCTCCGGGTTTCTGGCAGGCAGCAACCCCAGCTGTGCCAGGAGAGGCTGTGGTGGGGTCCAGTCACGTTTTGGGATGGTAAAGTAGAAGGGAAGCACACGAGCCCATGCTTGGAGTTATATAGAGAATTTACTGCTGAGGTGAAACATCGCTTTGATGGAGCAGAGCAGTGTCTGGGACACAGGGACGGGGTCACGGCTGGGCTTCAGCTCCTCTATGGCTTCAGGGTGTGGGAGACCATCAGGAGCTTACTAGGCAGCTGAGCTACCAAAGCCAGGGAAGAGGAGAGGAAGAGCAGCAGCTGAGAGGACAAGCAGAAGGTTTCATTCTGGGGAGAGAAGGGACATAATCACAGAATCATGGAATCCCAGACTGGTTCGGGTTGAAAGGGACGTTGAAGACCTCTTAGCCCCACCCCTGCCATGGGCAGAGACACCTCCCACTATCCCAGGATGTTCCAAGTCCTGTCCGGCCTGGCCTGGGACTTCCAGGGATCCAGGGGCAGCCACAAGAGCTGAGTTGCATCCCTGAGGGTGGTGGGGAGAAGAACTAGAGGCTTGGGGAGTCCTGCATGGGATTCCTGGAGCTCCAAGAGACCAAAGTGGGGGACACACTCATGGATCCCTAGGAGAGCTTGAGAGGAGCTGAAACCATGACTGGCATCCCTTGCAGAGGGATCTGCAGGACAGTGGGAGCCCACGGTGAGGTTGAAGGCATCAGAAACCAGGGGGTTTGAGGAGGAGCATGTCCAGGTCCTCCAGGAACTGGGATTGGCACCTCTGCAGTCCCCAGAGCTGGTGAGGGCAGGGCAGAGCCCACGAGATGCTCCCTGAAGGGGTTTCTCCACAGCCACAAGTGATCCCTGCCGCTCTGCAGGGAAATCCTGACGCTCAGGACCTGCTGGACCTCAGGGCTGGCGTTTGTTTTGTCTCCCCAGGTGCTAAACCTGTTCCTGGCTCTGCTGCTGAGCTCCTTCAGTGCTGACAGCCTGGCGGCATCGGACGACGATGGGGAGATGAACAACCTGCAGATCGCCATCGGCCGCATCAGCCGCGGCATCGCCTTCGCCAAGGCCACGCTCCTGGCGCTGCTCCGCCGCCTCTGCAAGGGCAAGAAGGTGGCACCAGAGGAGGAGCAGGACCCCAGTAAAAGGGACAACTCTGTGCTCAACCACATGGACACGGCTCTGGAGCCCAAGTCAGGGTACCTGGATGGCATTACGGACAAGGAGCACATTTTCATGGATGAGCTGGACCACATGAATTTCATCAACAACCCCAACCTGACGGTGCAGGTCCCCATCGCCTCCGAGGAATCCGACCTCTACGAGGAGACCAGCACCCAGTCTGACACCGAGGACACCACCAAGGTCAGGAAGATGGACGGAAGGGAAGGGTTTCACCCCAAAACTGGGACTTGCCCATTCTTGCTGTGCTGCCCAAAGAATGATGTTGGTTTGGGCCACTTTTAGCTTTCTCACAGGGCGTGGCATGGACCAAACTTGGCGTTTTCCAAGCTGGCATTTCCCAGTGTAAGCTGGAGTGGGAAGGTCCAAGCAGGGCTTTGGCTGATTTGGGTCAGACTATGGGGTTATTGCTGGTGCCAGAGGGCCCCACTGCACCACAGGGGTGGTGCAAGTGTCAGAGTGCTCAGTTTGGGGTTAAAGATGTTCCAGAGGAATCTGATGCCAGGAAATCTGCTGATGGCACTATCATTGGATCCACTGCTAATGCTTTGGGAAACATCGTCCTGGGGGGGCTGAACCAGATGGAGGAGCTTAGCAGGGGTGAACATGAAGCGAGAGATGTGGGATCCAAAGCTGAGACACCTGAGTCCAGTCTCCAGGGGACTGCTGGGGTCCTCTGGAAGGGTGGCAGGGGGACAAGAAACTTGGGAAGACCCAAGTGGACACAAAAGGTTGATGATGTGGTGGGAAATTACTGCTCACTCCAAGGTCCTGGAGACACAGGGGGCAGTTGGAGGTGCTGAGGGGGACAGGAGCAGGTGCATCAGCCTGGGAAGGGGGTTTATTTGGACAATAGGACAGCCCTGAGCAGGGATTTGTCATGACTGGATGGTAAAAGTTTGCCCAGGAGCTGAGGGAACTCTGGAAACTTCCAACCAACCCTGCCAGGCCCAGGAGGCACCTGGTGCTGCTGAACACCTGGATGAGACTACATAGCCCAAGAAAGGCTGGAAAATGAAGCAGGTCTCTCAAAAGTGAAGAGCCTCTCACCTCCCTCCCATCTGCAGGCTCCTCACAGCTCAGCACGGTGACAGGGACCCAGCTTGGCACAACATGGGGCAAGGAGAAGGGACAATCCTGATTATTTTTATTATCTGGGACAATAGAGGGATTTCAGCATTGAGGGTGCAGGAGAGGAACAGGAGGAAAGGTGGGGCTGGCCATCATCACTGCCAAGCCCTCCCGAGGGGACAAACTTGTGTGGAGCATCTTGGTCAAGGGAATGGGCCAGGGGTGTTACTGCTCTCAGTTCCCCCAGTGTTGCCACCAGGAGGGCTGAGAGTTGGCATTTCCCACCAGATTTTTTGTACCACAGCCCCAGTCCCTCAGCAGCAGTGCCCAGCACACCAAGTGCACTGCAGAGGTGATGCCAATGCCAGCCTGGCCATGATGGGAAAGGACACATGGGGTTCCCATGGACCTCAGCTCCCTGTCACCACAAAGGGCTTCCCAGCAGGTGGGAAAACCCTGGTGAGTAATGATCAGACCTGTCCTGGCACAGCTCTGGGCTTTAGGGTCTGCTCAGCCAATAGCACCCACTCCAAACAGTCCATGGAAAAACTGTGAGCTATCCCCAGCTGCTCAAGGCACCTCTCAAACAGTAAATACCAGTTCAGCCCATCAGGGCTGTTGGATTTGGTGCCTAAATTCAGTCAAAACTGACTCAGGTGGGAACCAAGGAGATCATTAAAAATAGGGGCCCTGCCAAGGCAGGGGGAATGATGGGCTGCAAATTGTCATGGAATCACAAATTATTTGGGTTGGTAAGAATCTCCAAGACTAGGTAATCCCAATCCCCTGCCATGGGCAGTGACACCTTCCACTATCCCAGGCTGCTCCAAGGGCTGTCCCAGCCTGGCCTGGGACACTGCCAGGGATGCAGGGGCAGCCACTGCTGCTCTGGGCATGCTGTGCCAGGGCCTCCTCACCCTCACAGCCAGGAGTTCCTTCCCAATACCCCACCTAACCCTCCCCTCTGGCAGTGAAAGCCATTCCTTATGTCCTGTCCCTCCAGCCCTTATCCTCAGTCCCTCTCCAGCTCTCCTGGAACCTCTTTAAGCACTGCAAGGGGCTCTGAGCTCTCCCCGACCCTTCCCTCCTCCAGGCTGAGCACCCCCTACTCTCCCAGCCTGCATATACAAGGTGAAATGACAATTAGCAATCAGTGCTAATTGGTGGGAGCCTGGCGCTGTTGTCTGTGGGGTTGTTGCCATCCGGGTGTGTTCGCACCCCGGGATCAGCTCCAGATGGAGCCAGAGCTCCGCGCACCGCCCGCTCCGGGACACTCCCGCCGTGAGCATCCCGGGGCTCCTCACGGGCTGCTCAGACAACGCTGATAAATCCTCTCCACGTCCAGCGCAGCTGCTTTCCAAGAAAAAGCTCTTTTTTGGAGAAATGACAGCGGCGGGATCATCGCAGCTGCGATTTTGCCTCGTGGTTGATTTCTCTTTGCAGCTTAAAGCAGGGAGGAGGTGCCAGCCCGGTCTGTGGCTCTGCAGAATCAGCGCAGGGGCTCAGGGCTCTTCCAGGGGCTTTTTCCGTGGGGAGCCCATCCTGCTGGGCACGGTGATGTGTCCTGAGATGTGGTGTAGCACGGGGGTGTTGTCAATGGAGCTGAGGGAGCTGGGAAGGGGCTCAGCCTGGAGAAAAGGAGGCTCAGGGGGGCCCTTGTGGCTCTGCACAACTCCCTGACAGGAGGGGCAGGGAGGGGGGGTTGGCCTCTGCTCCAAGGAACAGGGACAGGAGGAGAGGGAACGGCCTCAGGCTGGGCCAGGAGAGGTTTAGATTGGATATTAGGGAAAATTTCTTCACCCGAAGTGTTGCACAGCCCTGGCACAGCTGCCCAGGGCAGGGATGGAGTCCCCATCTCTGGACGGGTTTAAAGCCATGTGGATTTGGCACCTGGGGACAGGGGTCAGTGGTGGCCTTGGCACTGCTGAACTCACTGGTCTTGGAAGGCTTTTCCAACCCCGTTCTGTGATCCTCAGTGCTGTGGATCATGGGGTCATGGGGTGAGTCAGAGTGTGCAGCAGCAAGGACGGGAAAGCCCTGGTTTGGGGGGAAAGCCCCAGCCAGGCTGGAGATGCTGTGCTGGGTGTGTGATGGAAATTGCCCTCCAAACCTGCTGGTTCCAGGAGCCCCCAGGGATGGGTTTTATCGCTGTCCCCACCCAGGAGAACCTGCCTTGAGCTCCCCCTACAGAATTCCTGAGTTCCATGAGCCATCCAAGGGTCTTTTGGACCTTACCCCACACCTCCAGGGCAGTTGCACTGGTTTGTCCCCACCTTGACCCTTTCCAAGCCTGTCCCGGAGGCTCAGATGGCTCCTGTGTGTCCTTCCCTAGCGTCACAGCTTGCCTGGCTCCGTGCTGAGACTCCCTAATCCCCCTGCCCCTCCTGTCCCTCCCCTGGCCTTGACTGAGGGTGGTCCCAGGGATCTTGAGAGCCACCAGCTGAGAGCTGGTGCCACCCCTGCTGCTGTGCCCTCTCTTGCATGTCCTTAAAGGTCCCTCACAGCAACATGTTCTCACGGAGATGTGGCTGTGCCCCTGAAGCTGTGAGCAGTGACAGTGCCTCAGATTACCCCGGGGGTTTTTCCCTGGTTTTTGGAGGATGGAGCAGCTCCTTTATGGATTACCAAAAGCAGGAGCAGCCTGAGGGGAGGATTATCTCCTTTCCATGTAAACCAACACCTTCCTGTGCTGGAAATACCCTGGATCCTCTGGTTCCTGCTGCTCCCAGGTAGGATAGGCAGGGTTGGGAATCTGCTCATTCCTCAAGTGTTGCATGAGGGCTTCTCAGAAAGCAAAAGAAAAAAAGAGGAAAAAGAGTCCCAGGGGCTTGCCCAAGGTTTTCTCTTGTTATCAGCCCCTCTGGCCTTGCTGAGTGGTGTCTGGGAACTCAGCCAAACTGACCTGTGGAGCAGGATGGAGCTGGAAAGAGGTATTTGGGGTACAGATATTGAACTTGGGTGAGTCTTGGACTGAGGCCCCTTCAGCACAAGCCGAGCTGGAGAGAGGAGAGGCTACTTGGGTTCCTGCACCAAGGGGGGGTTGGCAGAGCAATTCTTGAATGAGGACACACAGAGGAGGAGGAGGAGGCGGAAGAAAATCAGTCTGAGGTGGTGGCACAGGTGGGTGGGAGATGGAGCTGCTGTGCTGGGAGGAAGGCTGGGATCAAGGGACCTCTTGTTCTCCTGAACCTGCATGAAAAGCAAAGCTCAGGTACCAACAGTCTTCCAAGGTTTGCAGCCCTGGATGATTGAGCAGCTTCCGGGCTGTGTGTCATAGAAGGGGACTCGGAGCATCCTCCAAACAAGGGGGTCCCACCACCCATCTGGTCCTGCCTGTGCTCTCTGGGGCAGGAGGAGCATGGCTGGAGGCAGCCAAAGCCCAGGTGCCTGCTCTGAATTGCTGTGTCCCTGCAGAACCCCCTGTCCAGTGACAACGCCTCGTCCGTGTGCAGCACAGCGGATTACAAACCCCCCGCGCCCGAGGAGGAGGAGATGGCAGAAGTGGCTGAGGAGAGCAACGAGCCCGAGGAGTGTTTCACTGAAGGTGAGGGACAGAGCAGGGCTGGAGACCCTGTGGACAGGGGGAGATGGGTGTAGAGAGGGGGAAATGGGGGTGGAGAGGCCACTGCCAACCAGTTCTTGCAGCACAGGGACCGCCAGGCTCCCAGAGCTCAGCCCCAACTCCAAATCCTCTTGTAGCACCACAGAGATGATCCCCATGGAGCTCCCCTCGTGCACCCCACCTCAGCCCAGCAGGATCCTGGCCCAACTTCCACTAGGGAGGGTTTAAATGTCAATAAAACTGGGAACAGTGGGAACACCCTGGCCAGGAGTGACCCCCAGCCTTGTGTCCCCAGGCTGTGTGAAGAGGTTCCCCTGCCTCTACGTGGACATCAACAGTGAGAAGGGGAGGATTTGGTGGAACCTCAGGAAAACCTGCTTCCGCATCGTGGAGCATGACTGGTTCGAGACCTTCATCGTCTTCATGATCCTCCTCAGCAGTGGGGCGCTGGTAGGTCCCACCTTTCCCCTGCCCCAGGGGCTCTGCAGCAGCTTCCCAGCCTGGGGGGGCCCAAGGAGGTGACAGAGCCCAGGTTCTGGGCATCTCCTGTGCCAAATAATCCAGCTGTGGGCAGATGTTTGATTTCAAACCCCATTTGGATCAGGTCTAACATCATCCAAGAGTCCTGGTACCTACTGGTTGACCCCCCCAGCATCCCTGGACCATCAGGCTGTGGTCCACGGGCTCAAGGGGATGCCACTGCCTACAACTTCCACTCCTGCTCTTAATGCCATCTATGAACCATCTGAACCATTTAAGCTTTGTGTAGTTCCTCGTTTCACCACCACCATCACCGGTTGTCAGGAGGTGCTTGACAAACAGTTCATGGTTTTTATTTTGCTGTTCAGCTCCTCCATCAGTGCCTGGTGCCCCCTCTCAGAGCTGGGGTGTTCCATTAAATCAGCCTAATTAATTACCTGTGTCGGCCTGGTGCCGTTCTCTGATTGTTTGGGTTGGATTTAACTAAGGAAATATCAATTTCTCTGCAGGTTTGGAGGTGAAGAGAAAGGGAAAGAGAACAGAGGGACAGAGAGGGTTTTCAGACACACTTTACATGTCTGCAGCTCGCTCTGAGGTGGTTTAGGGATGTCTGAGGTTGTAGCTGGTGCAGGAATTGAAAGCTTTGCTATGTCAGCTGTGCAACACCTGGTCACCATGGGTGTGGTACACACCCAAACTCCTCAGGGCATTTTCAAAACTCCCAAAGCATCCCAAGGTGTGGGTTGGTGTCCTGGGGTTTGAGCTGAGACACCTGGGAATTGGATGCAGCTGGACGTTAGCTTCAGTGCAGCTCTGCTTTGGGTCCAACCCCGCAAAGCCAAGGGACTTGCAAACAGGATCTGGACCCCACGGTGAGCAGGTCCCCATGGACCAGCCATCCTTGGGCTCCCAGCTCCTGAGCCGTGGGAAAGCAGGGAGCATGGCTGTGCTCTGGGATGTCATGGGTCCCATGGAAGATAACTGTCCCGTAGCTCTGTGGGGTTTTCCATGGAAGATGACTGTCACGTAGCTCTGTGGGGTTTTCCATGGAAGATAACTGTCCCAATAGTTCTGTGGGGTTTTCCACGGAAGATCACTGTCACGTAGCTCCGTGCCCCTTGCAGGCTTTCGAGGACATCTACATCGAGCAGCGCAAGGTGATCCGCACTATCCTGGAATACGCAGACAAGGTCTTCTCCTACATCTTTGTCATCGAGATGCTGCTCAAGTGGGTGGCCTATGGCTTCAAGGTGTACTTCACCAATGCCTGGTGCTGGCTGGATTTCCTCATCGTGGATGTACGTGATGAGCAGGGCCAAGCCAAGGGGCTTGGAGGTGTTAGGGGCTGTTGTAAATGAACCCAGATTGTATTTTAGAGGATAAAGAGGTGGCTGTGGAATGAGGGCTTATACCATTTCTTAAAATAATGGTCCCCCGCAAGAAGGAACACTTTGTTCCTGGTTGTAGGAACCTTTCAAACCCTTCTGTTTTACACCCAAGCCAAGAACAGCCCCTGCAGTTCCACCAGGCCTAGTAGAACTGTGAAGGGACACAGGATCTCCCACAGGATCTCTCTCACAGGGTGATAGAGCAATCTGTCCTTTTTGTGCCCCACATCAATTCCACCCTCACACTCAAGAGGTGTCATCCTGCCCTGTCCCTGGAAGTGTCCAAGGCCAGGTTGGATGGAACAATCTGGTATAGTGGAAGGTGTCCTTGCCATGTCAGGAGGTAGGACTGGATGGTCTTTAAGGTCCTTTCCAACACAAATCATTCTGGGATTCTGTGACCCTTGATGTATCTGGTCACCAGGGACCCCAAGGACTCGATGTCTGTGTCCCAGGGCTACAGGGCTGTGACCACCAGCCTGAGGGACTGGGGAGAGAGGGAAGGCCAGGAGCTGCAGTTGTGTTTCCACCTGAGGTGCTGCTGATCACTTGGGCTGCTCCTTCCAGGTGTCCCTGGTCAGCCTGACAGCAAACTGGCTGGGATACTCCGAGCTGGGAGCCATCAAATCCCTGCGGACACTGAGGGCTCTGCGACCTCTGCGTGCTCTGTCCCGGTTTGAGGGCATGAGGGTAAGTGTGTCCCCATGTGCTGCTGGCCCTGACAGGGACATGTAAGCCTTCAGCAGTCCCCTGCATCACAGACATCCCAGTTGGATTTCAGGGGCCTCCAGATTGGTAGGATCAATGCTAAGGTACCTTTGGTCCAGTCTGACCTCACTCAGTGCTGCTGGGGAGGGCAAGGTCGGGGCATAGGGACATGAAGGTCCCATCCAGGCCTCTCAAGATCTTTTCTCTCCTTGCAGGTGGTGGTGAATGCCCTGGTGGGTGCCATCCCCTCCATCATGAACGTCCTGCTGGTCTGCCTCATCTTCTGGCTGATATTCAGCATCATGGGGGTGAACCTGTTTGCAGGGAAGTACTACAGGTGTGTCAACACCACCACAGGTGAGCTCTTCGACATCAGCGTGGTCAACAACAAGAGCGACTGCATGGCCCTGCTCTACACCAATGAGGTCAGATGGGTCAATGTCAAGGTCAACTTCGACAACGTGGGCTTGGGTTACCTGTCCCTGCTGCAGGTGGTACGTCACAACATCGGGTGTGGAGCAGGGCGGTGGGATGAGCATCAGGGCTGATGTGGGATTGGGTTTCTTAGCTGCTTCTTAGCTCCAAAGCTGGTTTTTAAGACCAGAAAAGCCTTAGTAAGGGGTTTCCTCCCAACCAAGGAAAGCAAGGGACAGGGTAGAAGATGAGAGGGGAAGGTGTCACCAGGGAATTGCTACAGATGGGCGCAGAGAGCACCAAGGCTGGCGCTGCAAAGCAGCCCCTGCACAGCACGAGGTGCAGGAGTCAGGAGGGGAGGCTCTGTTTTACCCCTGCACCCTTTGGAAAGTTCAGGCTGCTCCAGCAATAGGCTGTGGGACTTTGCGTGGGGCAGGTGACGACTGGAAAAAGAGCGCACGTGTCCCCTGCGGGCAGTGGGCGAATGCAGCTGAGTTCCACTGAACTCCCCACAGCTGGGCCAGGCAGCAAAGGGGAACTGCTCACCACAGCTTTAATAAAAATATAGGTGTGGGTTCCATTATGGGGCAGGCTGGGGCTACTCCCATCAGATCCAGGGGAACTGGTGGCTGCAGCATCGGAAAACAACCCCAGCTGATGACCTTGCTTCTAAATTCAGCTTCCTCTTCAGGCTTGTTGTTCCATCAGATTCAGGAAACAAGATGTGCAGACCTTTTGTTTAACAAATCAGCAGCAAAAGGCTGTAAGAGATGCAGTGGAGACCCTGTAAAAGATTTGGTGTAGTCTCCCACCCTACTGAGATGGGAATTCAGCAGAACCAGAGGCAGGATATGGAAGTCAGGGCTATGGAGGTGGCACAGTTTGGGACTGGAAAAGAGGCAGCTGGCCCTGGCACAGCTCTGCCTTTGGGAAAAAGACTTCGAAGTCAAGAGGAGAAGGGAGAAAGGAGTCAATTGCTTCTTTTCCCTGCCTTGTTTGCAGTGGTGTTTTGGGAAGTCACTGGTAGCCTCAGCCCCAGAATGGTCTATGCATATTCACATGGGAATTTCCATACATCTGGGACATTTTTCTTGTGGATTCAATCCACATTCCTCTCCTGCCATTCCCACAGAGAAGCCGGAGCACTCAGAGCTAAACTCCAGACATGCACTCATCACCTTCCCTTTCTTCCCAGCCCCAAACAACTCCCAGAAAATGCATTCTTCTCCACTGCTATAGAATCACAGAATCCTTTATGTTGGAAAAGACTCCAAGTTTGATCATTCCTGTTCCCGCAGGCAACCTTCAAAGGCTGGATGGACATCATGTATGCAGCCGTGGACTCACGTGAGGTGAGGGGACACGCAGGGACACACTGCTGATTCCAGGGTGGATTCCCCTTGGCAGGCTGGGAATGGGATTCCAGAACTGAGGCTGGCATGGATCCTTGGCATCACCTCTGGCTCTGCCTTTTGGTGCTGGGGGCTGCCTGCATCCCACCCGTGACTTCCACCAGGACATTGGCTAAAGGGTGGACAAACCCCCAAAATGGATCAGATCATGGAACCCCAGCACGGTTTCTGTTGGAAGTGACCAAAAAAACCATCCAGTGCCTCCCCTGCCATGGGCAGTGGCACCTTCCATTATCCCAGTGTACTCCAAGCTCTGTCCAACCCAGCCTTGGACACCTGGGCAGCCACAACATCCCCCTGCTGAGGTGCACAGCCTCAAAAAGGGCAGCCATGTGTCCCCGTGCCACCCACGTCATTGTCACCTGCAGCCTGGTCCCACACTGGGCTCCTGCCGTGCCCCACAGCTGGGGCTGCATCTGCTCCACTCATCTTCAGTTCCAGGGGCCAAAATCCCTATTGGGGGCTCATCCTTCTGCCTGCTGTGACATGATGTCCTCCATGAGCCCTCTAGCTGGGAAAGCTCATGCCATCCTGGAGAAAGTGCCTGGCTTGCCTTGAGCAATCAATGGCTCATGAGAACAGAGCAGACAGCCTTTAACCATTGGGTTCAATGAGTGTTTGAAGAGTGTCATGCAAAGGCTATTCCTACTGTGATCCATCCCCAAAAGTGTCCCTACAGTAGAAGGCATTTCCTGCTGTTCTCCAGTCACACTGGACGTCATCCCACAGAGGCCTGAAGGGGGGGTCTTCATTGCCCCTTTTTAGCACCCTTCCATCACCCTCTGAAAATCCCTCAGGACTCTGCCCCACCTGGGGCAAAACTGGTTTGGGAGAAAATCTTCCCTGTTCTGCCAAGAGCTTTCCTCAAAATGGGGGAAACCAGTGGGGTCATCTCAGGGTCTCTCTGGTCAAACACAGAGCGGGATTAAAGGATGCCCCTTGGGATGAGGAGCATTGTCCAGGGTTGTTGGGCTGTGCCACCCAGCTGTGCTGATGTGACAAATTAATCCACTTTTCCTTTCCCCTCTCAGATATATTTCAGCCCTTGGAATGCTGATTATTGTGAAGAAACTAATTTGCTCATTAATATGACTGCAAAGGACATCCTTTCCCATTCCCCACCCCATGCTGTGGGATTGGGGGTCAGCGTGTCCTTGTCCCTCAGTCAGTGTCACATGGATGTTGCTTCCATTGGGAACACACAGCCAAAAGTTTTGGAGCAGCCATCCCTGGCTCTGTCCAAACAGTGCAAGCCCTTGTCTGGGGGCTTGGGGACATCTTTTTGGGACAGAGTCAGTCTCACATTTCCTATCTCTCTTGGCCAGATTGAAGAGCAGCCACAGTACGAGATCAACCTCTACATGTACATCTACTTTGTCATCTTCATCATCTTCGGTGCCTTCTTCACTCTGAACCTCTTTATTGGTGTCATCATTGACAACTTTAACCAGCAGAAGAAAAAGATGAGTATTTCCTGACTCCTGAGGTGCTGCTCTAGGGTGGAGGGGGCCAGCCAGCAGTGTGGTGGTGGGACCAGGGCCACCATGCCCAGGACTAGGATGGATCCTAGGATTCCTGTCCATTAGTGGCTTCCTGCACTGGACAAATGGCACATGGAGCTTTGTGTCCTGGTCACAGCTGTTACAGAGGACTTAATTTACAGGTGCAGAGGGAGGAAGTAAAGGGAGGCTGTGTTTTCTCTTGCCTGGACCATCAATTTTATTTTCTTTACCTACCCTGGGTTCATTTTCCCATGCACAAGGTTGAGACTCTGCTTCTTCTCCAATCTAGTAGCTCAGGATTGACACCCTGGAGCAGGGGGTGGGCAAAGGGTGTGCAGGGCCAAGCACACTGGTGGTGCTGAGCGAGGTCTGTAGGACACAGAGAGGACACCTTGTTCCCAGCAGGATCTCTGAGGGGCTGGAGATACTTGGTGGGAAGAGAATTCCTGAGACTAACAGCAGTGTTCCCTTTATACTTTGGAGGCAAAGATATCTTCATGACAGAAGAGCAGAAGAAATACTACAATGCCATGAAGAAGCTGGGCTCCAAGAAACCCCAGAAGCCCATCCCTAGGCCAGCGGTACGTTGGGCTCATCCTCCAGGAGTGGAACATGCAGGGAACACTTCAAGGCACCAGCTGTCCCAAAGGGAGCAAGAAGGGTTCAGGGAGGACCATTTGCCCCAGTGTTACTCTTCAGACAGGACCTGGCCAAGAGCTGAGGCTTCACAAGAGGGTGACATCAGGCCACCTCTTTAGGGTCTACCCTTTAGCCCTTGGTTTGCTGGCAAGGGTAACGATGGGGTTTCTTTTACAGGAATTTGGGTTTTTTCCTAGTTCAGCTCCCAGCTCCTCTCTGGAAGAGAGTTGGGCTCAGGGATAGCTCAGCTTTCAACTCCCCAGCAGGGTCCAGCCAAAACAGGGTTTTGTAGCCCTGCACAAGGGAGGTCCTTCCCATGTGTTAATTGGTGCCCTATTAGCTGTGGGTGTAATTAGCAAGCAACTGTGCCCTGTGCCACTCCTCTTGGCCGTGGTGTTCCCAGGTATGCTTCATCCTGAGAGGTGCTGGGAATCCTCCCCCTGTAACTTTTGGGGCTGTGAGAACCATGCTGGCCACAACCCTGAGGTTTCCCACATTTTAATTATGGTTCCTTCTTCTCTTTCTGTTGTGTTTTTGTTTTGTTGTGTCTGTCCCGTGTTCCCACCTCTTCTCTGGTGCTCCATCTTTGCCCTTGTGTCGTCCATTGCAGAACAAATTCCAAGGGAAGGTGTTTGACTTTGTTACCAAGCAAGTGTTTGACATCACCATCATGATCCTGATTTGCCTGAACATGGTGACCATGATGGTGGAAACAGATGACCAGAGCGAGCTCAAAACCTCTGTCCTCTACAAGATAAACCTGGTCTTCATCGTCATCTTCACTGGGGAGTGCGTGCTCAAGATGTTCGCCCTGCGTCAGTACTTCTTCACTGTGGGCTGGAACATCTTCGACTTTGTGGTGGTCATCCTCTCCATCCTAGGTGAGTCCTGCTGCTCCCACCAGTCCCTCAGGGATCCCACTGAACAGTGAAGAGTGGAAGTGGTCTCACCAATCCACACCACCGAGCTGTCACTGGACCCCACTTGCACCCATCCTTGGAGCAGGGCCAAGCCAGCAGGACCCTGAGACATGACAGATGTGAGGCCACTCCAGGCCACCAGGCTGGGTGAGGAGCTGGGGATATCTGTGCTCCTCCTTGGTGTTATTTCCCTTGGTGTTCTTTTTCTCCAAAACAGAGCAGCCAGAGCTTAACCCTTGGGTCTGTGCTATATTTTTAAATATTTTTTTCCTGTCACTGGAGGAGTCATTGGGGGTGGCCTCACCTCACTGTGTCTGCCCAGATGGAGTGGAGCAGATCCCCTTTACCTCCCATTGGTGGCACAGCAGACTCATCTGTCCTTCATCTCTCCACAGGTATCGTCCTCTCAGACATCATTGAGAAGTATTTTGTATCCCCCACCCTCTTCAGGGTGATCCGGCTGGCGAGGATTGGCCGTGTGCTCCGGCTGATCCGAGGAGCCAAAGGCATCCGGACGCTCCTCTTTGCCCTGATGATGTCCCTGCCTGCCTTGTTCAACATCGGCCTCCTGCTCTTCCTCGTCATGTTCATCTACTCCATCTTTGGGATGTCCAATTTTGCCTATGTCAAGAAGGAGTCGGGGATCGATGACATCTTCAACTTTGAAACTTTTGGGAACAGCATCATCTGCCTCTTCCAGATCACCACATCAGCGGGCTGGGATGGGCTCCTCAACCCCATCCTCAACAGCGGCCCCCCAGACTGTGACCCCGAGCTGGAGAACCCAGGGAGTTCAGTGAAAGGAGATTGTGGGAACCCTGCCATTGGCATCTTCTTCTTCTGCAGCTACATCATCATCTCCTTCCTCATCGTGGTGAACATGTACATCGCCATCATCCTGGAGAACTTCAGCGTGGCCACAGAGGAGAGCAGTGAGCCCCTCTGCGAAGATGATTTTGAAATGTTTTATGAAACTTGGGAGAAGTTTGACCCAGATGCCACTCAATTCATTGCCTACAGCACATTGTCGGACTTTGTGGACACCTTGCAGGAGCCACTCAGAGTTCCCAAACCCAACAAGATCAAACTCATCACCATGGATCTACCAATGGTTGCTGGGGACAAAATCCACTGCCTAGACATCCTCTTTGCCCTGACTAAAGAAGTGCTGGGAGACTCGGGAGAGATGGATGCCCTGAAGGCCACCATGGAGGAGAAGTTCATGGCTGCCAACCCCTCAAAAGTTTCCTATGAACCCATCACCACCACCCTGAAGAGGAAGCACGAGGAGGTTTGTGCTACCAAGATCCAGAGGGCTTTCCGGCGGTACCTGCTGAGGCGCTCGGTGAAGCAGGCGTCCTACATGTACAGGCACAGCCAGGATGCCTTGGGCGAGGATGCGCCTGAGAAGGAAGGGCTGATCGCCACCAAAATGCAGGAGATCTATGGGAACACTGGGACAGATGTGGAGACAGCCCCTGCCTTGGGCCTCGAGCCCATTCCCAGCTCAGAGATGCCCCCGGATGCTCCTGAGGAAGCACAGGCTTGGGATAAGGAACGCGTGGTCAAAGAGTCGCTGGTGTAACACGAGGAAATTCCACCTCTGGCCCAGCCTGAAGAGACTTCATTTGAATCTCCTGTTCAAAGCTCTTCCATGCACAGATCTCTAGATCTTAGATATTGTGCTAATTTCAGATATTTCAAGCAACCACCTTGAATTTCAAAGCAGGATCTCCTCCTGATCCTGGGTTTTACAGCCCACTGCACTTGCAAAGAGTTTAATTCTTTTTCTTATGAGAACTCAAATGTGAAATCTGTTGTCAGTGAAAGAGAAACAATTCAGTTTTGAAATGATCTCATCATGGTAACGATGGTTTTCAGGCATGAACAGAAGGGTATGGTTGTCCTTTCACTTAAAGTAATTATTTATTAATGTTATTTCACAATTAAGAGATTTTCCTGTATTTTATTCTTCCAGAGTGCAACCAAGCAACCAGTGAAAGATGAGCCAAGTGAAATAATATTAAGAATAATTACAGAAAACAGAAGGTTTTGTGAACAAAAATCTCCAAAGTCTTAAAGTAGCACCTTTCTTTTGAAACTCTGAATAAGCTTGATGATTATTTTTTGTTACATACAAGAGAAAGTGCAATTATGTCTTAATAATTGGTTTGCAAAGCCAAAGCAAAGCATCTGCAGATTTGCTCTCAGGGTTAAATATCAGGTTTTCAAGGTCTCTGAATATGCATTGAAACCAGAAATCATTCAGGTCTGTGTAAGATGAATGTAAACACTGTTTATAGTCAGGTTTTACTCTATTTTTCTCATTTCCATCCAGGTTTTGTGGCAGGAAAGCAACGGGCAAAGGTAGGGTTTTGAAAACATCCTCCAAGAATCCCCAGTCCCCGGGATAAAACTCTCCAGGGTTTTTTTTTTCTAGCCCTGTTGCAAGAGGAGCCATCCCACTGGAGTGCTCTTGGTTGGCATTCCAAATGTCCTCTTCATTAGTGTTAATTAATGACATGCACCCCCAGGGATTGGAGCCAATGTTTGAACAATCCTTGCCACGAGCTGTTTTAGGGCTGCCCTAAATCCCACCCAAGCCCTAGGTGGCTGCGTGTAATAAATGATCCCATTGGGATGTGAATCCCAAAATCCTCAGGCAGAGCATACTTCCCTAGGCTGGGGCAGCAGAGAGGCCCTGGTGGCACATTCTGGATGGGCTGGGCAGATCCTCACCAGAAAACCTCCAGGCAGAGGAGCATTTTCCCAGGGGGAAAATGGACTTGCTGTTCTTCACACAGGTGAGCAAAAGGAAAGTAAATCAAGGAAAATGGTCCTGGCACCACTGTGGCTGCCCCTGGATCCCTGGCAGTGTCCAAGGCCAGGTTGGACAGGGCTTGGAACAACCTGGATAGTGGAAGGTGTCCCTGCCCATGGCAGAGGGTGGCACTGGATGAGCTTTGAGGTCGTTCCAACCCAAACCATCCTGTGCTTCTGTGAAAAACGGGCAAAAGGCTTCGAGTTCACCTCTGACCACCTTCTGCCTTCAAAAGGGAAAAACCCCTCTTGAGATCAAATCAAACATGAACCAAAACCTCTTACAGTTCAAACAAGGGCTGCACCTGAAGCCAAAGGCTCTGTGTTTTTGTACTCTGATGATTCTTTTCTCTTCCCGGGCTGCTTTGGGCACTGCTGTCACGGATGCCCCATGGCCAGGCTGGCCAGGAGCGATGCTGAGCCTGGCTTGGAGCCATGAGCTCCCAGCCAGGTGGCAGAGCCACAGACACTCGGCTTGTCCTGTGGCCTTGTGCTCTCATTTCCCTGTCGATGCTGCCTGCAGCAGGAGCCTGAGCTGCTGTCGCTGGCATTTCCATGGGAAGTATCCCTGGCACGGCATCCCTGCCCGGATCGTGGTTCACAATCGATGCTGCTTCTACATTTGTGTTGTCGGGGATGAGGAAATGCCCCAGAGCAGGGTTTGTGTGAGCTAAAGCCATTTTTCTTTGTACATTTCTTACAATAAACAACTGTAAATGATCTGTTATTACCAAGTGTGCTGGTGTGTCTGGGGGGCGGAATGTTTTCCCTGCACTGGGAGAGGTGAACACGCTTCCCTTGGCTCCTCGTGCTTGGCTTTGGACCCGCCAACCTCAGCAGGACCTGGGGGTCTCATCCTGCACAGGAGGCACCAGGGCTGTCCCCTGGGACCTCCAGCCCAGCTCCCAGAGCTTCTGTTCCGCTCATGATCCCATCCCTCGGAGCTCGCTGAGGCCGGGACCCACAGGAGCTGCTGCTGTGAGCTCCACCAAGGACAGACGAGGGTTTGGAGGAGTTCAAGCCCCCGAGCTGCCCCACACAGCTTCAAGCCCAGCCCAGCAGCCAGGTGGGCGCAGGTGAGCGTGGCTGGGGGGACAGGGTGGGTTCTGCGTCAGCGAGGAGGAGCCGCCCCGGACCCGCTGACGCGCCCGGCTCGGGCTCGCCGCTGTTTTTTTTTCGCTGTTTTCGATGTTTTCGCTGGAACAGCTCGTCCCGAGGCTGGCGTAACGCGACGGGGCTGCAGGGGCCGGGCACTGTGAAATCCAAATCCCAATGCACAGGGAAGGGCGGGGGAAGGTGCAGCTGCCGGCAGTGACTCTGCTCTGGTAGCCAGAGTGGCCCAGGGGAAGAGGCTTGGGGACATGGGACCCTCCCCGTTGGACCACCAGGTTCCCCTACACCCCAGGTGATGGTTGCTGTAAGCACGGGGGTCTCCAGGGGAGACCGAGCCCCTCTGTGCCTTTCAAGTGTACCAAGGAGCCCTCAGGCAGCGCGGGGGCTGACTTGGCCACTGTCACTGCAAACCCTCTTCAGTTTGTGCCCTGCTCCTGCTTTTACCTCACAGGGCTTTCCCAGGAACCTCCAGCATCCCAGCTCCCATCTGCAGCCCCAGAGCCCTATAAAAACCCCTCCAGTGCCTGCCAAGCACGTGGGCATCCCTTTCCCTTTGCCCTGCTGGGATATCAGGCCGGGCTCTGCTCTTCCAGCCAGACCCATGGGTGATGGCAGCAGGGACTTGGCAGTGTACAGAAGGAGTAGAAGGCAACTCTCCCATCGTCATTCCCTCATGGAGACAGTTTTCCTCTGAACTTTATTTCTCTTACTTCCTATCCTTTTGTGTGCAAAGTCAGGCTGAGGCTGGTTCCCAGCACCCATCAGATGCTCAGAACTGGCAAAAAACCCACCCAGCCTGCAGGAGATGAAGGTTTGAGGAGGCCTCGAGCAGTGGCACCAGGCTCTGGGGACCAACAAGACTGGCAGAAGTACCCAAAGGTGTTTTTCACTGGAGTTACAGTTGAGTGCTCACCCACAGCCGGTAACGAGCAGCAACCAGGGCGGAGGGAGCAGAGCCTGGGGGAAACTGTGCAGCAGAGCTCCCCTTGGGGGGCTCGTTATGCTCCCCTGGGGCCTGCCTGTCTCAAAGGTTCCATGGAGAAGGCTCTTGGAGCGTGGAGAAGGGGTGGGCATGGCTATCACCCAAGTGACTCCTTTTGGCCGTTTCTCCCTCTCATCTTCCCCTGGAAGTGCTCAAAAAAACGTGTGGATGTGGCACTTGAGGACGGGTTAGTGGTGATCATGGTGGTGCTGCTGAGCTGGGGATCCTAAAGGTCTGTTCAAACCATAGTGATTTTGTGACTCACTCATGCTTCTATGATTTTAGATTTCTTGACTCCCTGGGAGGCAGGGATGGGAGCTGGGGGACTGCATCACACAACAAACAACCCCACAAACATCCCTTATCCTTATCCCATTCCTGCTGCAACTCTTGGCTTCTGGGCCACCATAAATCTCTGCCTGTCCCCTTCAGGGCCAAACACCTGGGGGGATCTGTGGAGCTGGGGGGAAACCCTAGGGGTCACTCCCATCCTGGCCCCCACGGATGTGGCCAGGCAGCACCAAATCCCATTCCCTGGGCACCTCTCATGCTAAGGAGGTTTGGTACCTTCTGCTTTGCAGATGGGCTCATCCCCAGCTCTGCTGCAGGTCTACACCAGTCCTGGCCACCTCCAGGGAATATTGGCACCACAGGGAGCCAATAAGGGACACGAGGATGGACAATGCCCGGGGACAGGAGGATGGACAATGCCTGGGGACCCGAGGCTGGATGGTGTCAGCCCACAGGCACAGCCACCCCAGCGTCTGTGCTGCATTCAAAACCAGCCCCGAGGGAAAGTCCCCAGCAGGGAGGATTTACATGAGCAGGAAAGGGGCCACGCACAGAGCAGCAGCTTTGCCATTTTTAGGTACTGGGGCCAGGGTTGTGGGAGCAGCCTGTTTCTGCAGAAGCACAGGTTGGATGTTTCCCTGTCCTGAGCACTGAAATATGGCTGATCTGGGCACGAGGCTCTGGCTGCTCCAGGTGACCCTCTGGCTGCTGGCTCTGCTCACAGGTAGGCACCAAATGGGGTTTGCACTTCAGACCATGGAGCCAGGACAATGACCTGGATTGAGTCCCCTGCTCATGAGCTTCTCCCATCTCTGCCTCTCAGGGCAATAATTTTAAGCTTTGTGCTGGTCTCTCTCAGTCCTGCTCTGTGGTGGGAGCCTCCCAGGGAGCCCAGGAGAGCACACAGAGCTCAGAGCCCCGTCCTTGCATTGGGTTTGGGTTTTGCTTCCTTTCGGGGTGTGCAGACAGGACACATTCTGGGGCAGGCAGGTGGCTTTGGCCAAGTGGGTGCAGAGCCAGCCTGGCTGGGGCTGCAGGTGACAGGAAAGAAGGATTGTTGAGGTTTTTTAACCTTTTATTACTCTCAGAGGCCTGGGGATAGGACTGGCACATGGCCGAGGCCATGGACAAGCCACATCTCTGCTCTGTGGGGTTCAGTGCCCAGGAGCAGAGGAGAAATGGGAGGAAAAAGGCTTTTGGGGTGATCTGTGGGATCTGTGTGAACATCCCTTCACTGCTCCCCTTGGAGAAGCAGAAGCAAAACCCAGGACATGGCTCCTGTCCCCTTCCTGCTCCTCTTGCCTGGTGCAGGGACAGCTACAAAAGCCTGCAGCAGATCCCACCCTCAGAGGGAAACGTGCCCACAGGATGAAGGGCAT